CTGGAAACTTTACAATTAGCTTCATTCAAGAACTCTATAAGCTAAAATTAATAACTATTAATAGTACTTACTGGTTACCAAACATATTCAAACATAATTTTTTAAAAATATTAGCTTCATTCAAGAACTTTACTTAAATGCAATTTGAAAAGTTACAAATATTAGCTTCATTCAAGAACTCTATAAGCTAAAATTAATAACTATTAAAGGTACTTACTGGTTACCAAACATATTCAAACACAATTTTTTTAAAATAAAAACACTTTTAAGTGATTCAAAAGTAATCCCAAATGGATTGTAAAGGGCTCGAGTGAAATGATATAACAGACACGGTTGAAATATTTTTTCAAATATTTTAGAAAGTCACAAAAAATTGATTATATGTGAAGGATTCTGATTTACCAAAATGTTAGTGTGGGAATAAGGTTGCTAAAAGGGATACAAATTAGTTACTAATTCCAGTTGATGTTAGCTTTAACGTTGGTTAAAAATATGTAACGAACACAATTGTAATATTAGGTGTAAATGTGGTCATCTAAGAAAGAGAAAATTATATTTGAAGGGGTCTGATGTTACTAAAAAGTTAGTATGGGAATAAGGTTACTAAAAGGGACAAAAATTAATTACTAATTCAGGTTGATGTTAGCTTCAACATTGGTTGAAAATATGTAACAAATACAGTTCTTGGGGGAAGTTTAAACCAAATTATAAGATCATTAGTACGGTAAGAAATTCAAATTCTTGCTTAATAAAAGTAAGCATGTGAACTACTTGCTATCTTATCAGAGTTACAAAACAAGCAGACCCAATATTTTTTTGATATCTTTTTGAATTTTCAAATTCTCCTGTGTACCCCTTGATCAATGGCACCTATGTGAAAGGTAAAGGCGATATGACGACGAATATGCAAGGTATATTGAACTAGTAGTTGGCAGACTGTGTTGGCACATTGATTGGATTGGGAAAACATCACTTCGTTCTATCACATACCCACAATAAAAATCAACTAAAAAAACTACAGAGGAGTCCAGTAACTTGTATCATTATGAATGTTTATGCTTTCATTTCATATCATAAAAGTGATGTTCATTACACTTGTTTGTGTTGTTGGATTAATTATTTATTTATTGAAAGTATTGTATTCTTCTCTTTGAGTTCATATTGCAAGAGATGTGTTTTGAACATGTTTATTTTTTCAATGAGAATTTTTGAATTTATTTCATTTATATTATTGTGTATGAATGAATTTATTTAAAATCCCTAGCACAATTTGTTAAGATGTAAGATCCTCTTCAGTTGATATGACTTACAAATTTGGGTGAAAAAAACATAACAGTAAGGGGTGAAAAATACATACAAAATATTGTGATGGAGGAAACAATTTGCTAAGATGTAAGATCCTCTCCGGTTGATGTGACTTACAAATTTGGGTGAAAGAACATAACAATAAGGGGTGAAAAACACAAACAGAATTTTGTGATGGAGGATACAATTTGCTAAGATGTAAGATCCTCTCCTGTTGATGTGAGTTACAAAATTGGGTGAAGGAACATAACAACAATGGGTGAAAAAATATAAAAACAATTTGTGATAGATGAAACAATTTGCTAAGATGTAAGATCCTCTTCAATTGATATGAGTTACAAATTTGGGTGAAAGAACATATCAACAAAGCGTGAAAGAACATATAAAATTTTGTGATGGAGAAAACAATTTGCTAATATGTAAGATCATTTTCAGTTGATGTAAGTTATAAATTTGGGTGAAAGAACATAACAAGGAAGTGGCCTACTTCTAAGAGTCTTAATGTTATTAACAAAAACTTTTACAAAATTTCACCCTCATTTTAGCAATTTTGCACATGTTTCAATATGTTACTTTACAAATTTTAATATCAGTGTTCTTATGCATACGCTAGGACTTTTGAATGGCACAAACAGAATACCGTGACAAAGCATCATAAACTTAAAATAAGTAACAAAGGTGCACTTCATGGAGAAGATTACCTCAAATAAAATAAGTAACAGGTCCTCTGCTTTCCTTTGCAAATTGTGTGATGTGCCTATCTGCGAACTTGTTTGTGTGGCTGGTTGTAGTGCAATTCATTTACAGTTAATATTTTTGAGATAAAATAAATATATAAATAAACATGGCTGCATTGGATGAATTCCAAAAGGTGATGAAAAATTGCATCTTTATAAACATAACAACCTCAAATTTTTATTTACTTATCAAAAAAAAAAAAAAAATTTATCACCTTAAATGATCTAAAAAAATGATTAAAAAAGAAGAAGAAAAGAAAAGAAAAAAAAAATAACTGTGTATAATTGCTTATATTACATTAGAACTGACTTTTTTCTTAAGTTTATTTTATTGTTTTTTTACTTAGGAAAATCAGGACAACAATGGAAAATTTGAAGATTTAATTACTTAATCTTTTATGATTTCCTTATTTTTGGGCCATTGAATGGATTTTATTTTTTTTATCTTTTCTGTTTATGGTGATTCAATTTTTCATTCAGATCTTAGAGTCGGTTGTTCAATTTTATGTTTTTTTTTTATTTATTTGAAAATTTTAAGTTTCGATCATTAGACAATCTCAATGTTTTTTTTTTTTTTGTCTCCAAGTATGGCTGCTAAGGAGTGAAATCTACTTCTGGAAATATCTGACTCTGCAACTCTGTTGTTGTGTTTTTTTTTTTTTTTTTTTTTTTTAAATCTATTTTAAAGGACAGAAAGAATGTTATATGCTAATGGTGTCTAGGTTTTAAGTGAATAGATGTGAAAACAAGTTAAGAGTTATCGAGAGTGACAATACCATTTTGAGAAGAGTGGCCATTGAAGTAGATAATGTTGTGTGTATGTACTAGTGGTGGTTACAAATGATTTATATCTCTGTTTTATATCCTATAATTGTTGTACATGCTTCTTAGATGCATTTTAAATAATGTATTATCCATGTTTTAGTGTCATGTGTCCAACATGGGTGCTTCAAGCATTTTTAAAAACTGCATGTAACAAATATACAAAGTATTAATAAGAAGGGAAAATTGGGAATCCTACATGAAGCTTGATAGCACCCTTATAATGAAATCTTGAGTTGCGTGTCATTCCAAGATTTCTAGAGCTTCCCTACATCAGTTTGGTACTAAAGAAAGTAATTTTGTTTTGCATTTGTCCTACATCATTTATAAATGGGAAAATTTTGCACTATGGCGCTCTGCCCTGTCATACTGTAATGCACCACATGTCTTGTTCACATGGTAGCCATACTTGAAGATCAAAGTTAAGGTGTGGACAGAATTTTATGGTAAAAAATAAATAAATAAATAAAATAAAATAAATTCAATTAATTGTCTTTTATAGTTTGATATTTAGATCTATCACAATGGTTCCCACAGTGGCAAGAAATCTGCTCTATTGAGTGGTAAATAATCTTAGCAAAATATCTTAAAGGATCGCAATGTGCTAAGATAGTTATTGCAGCAGGTACCATACTCAGCTGCTATCTGTGACGTGTTTCTAAATCTCAGCCTTTTATTTTCTATCTTATCATCTTTTATTGGCAATTGACCAAGACAAATCAGAAATTACTTCGGAATCTGTTAGACATTCAAGTCAGCGAATGTCATTCCCACGATCGATCAGTCGAGGATCATCGTGGAATGGTTCCCACTATCAGCCAGAGGTTCCGGTGCTGATAGTGGGAACCATATCTGCAATCATCAATGGTGCAATTCTTCCAATTTTTGGTATACTAATTTCTAGCGTGATCAAAACATTTTATGAGCCACCACACGAACTAAGAAAGGATTCAAAATTTTGGGCAATAAGGTTAAGCGGAACCTCCTATGGGCCAGATTTGAACATTGCTTCAAACTCTAATGGACTTCTTGGCATTTTGTTCACTTCCAATGCCTACATACATACTATTTTTCAATACCATGTATCTATAGTTGTATGTAGTTTTATCTTCACTAAGTTCTAAAATCATTTAAATGGTTTTAAGCTTTTCTTTTTTAAATGTGCAAGGTACCATATTAAGAGCATGTTTGTGCTTTCATCACATATTTCCTCCTTTTTCATGCTTTTCTTTGAGGCCTCATGATATAAAATTCATTTGAAAGAACAAGGAATTTAAGTGCAACATAGAGGAAAATTTGAACAAGTTTATTAGAAGAGTGTGAATGAAATTTTGTATCAGTTCATGCTATGGTAACAAGGTTGTATAAAGGTCCAAGATTTAGATGGTACTCCTTGTTTGGTTGGCAACCTTGAGGTATAGTTTTTCAACTAAATCGACCTGAATACAACTATTATCTCAATAGTATGGTGATAAGGAGATTTATGAACCTAATTAGGAAATAAAAGGAGATTTGTGAATCTTCAGCTCATATTTGGATAGTTAAATTTGGATTTTGGGTTAGTAGTGAATAGTGATCTAATATATATAATGACTATTGCTGATCAGAAGAAAGAATTATATAGGCTATGGCTGGCAATCAGAGCTTGAAATAGTGAGAAATAACATTAGTAACTGTTGCAACAATTGGGAGTCTTGAACTTTGTAGAGTTTAAAAATAGTAAAACAATCCAAATAAATAGATAAATACAGAACTTAGCTATTTCTATAGACATTTCATTATGTTTTGATTACTAATTGAAATTATATTCCCATTAGTTCATTACATTTAAAACGGAGGATTATTTGTATTGTTACTTGAAAAAAGTTGTAATGGTCAATTTGGAAACCATAACCATAGATTTGGGCTTGAATTGACCTTTAATTCTTGCTTGTGAATGAATTGCCTTTAATGCTTGGTAGTGAATGAACTGAAATCACAATGGGGTGGTCTTCAAGTCTGCTCTTTTTTTTTTTTCTTTTTTTTAATGCATACGCAAGGACTTTTGAATGGCTTTATTGAATTAGTTTTCATGTAACAAGTTTCCAACAAAATTATTTACATTTGTAATAAATAAATTTTATCCTCACCTATAAGGATCACCACAATGCATCATCGATCTCGGCACCGGTTGTTCTAAATGAAGAATTTGAAATACTTTCGCAAACTTTCACCCGTATTATATGTCAATAGGAGCGTGTATTTGGACAGAAGCTACAATAGCATTTCGATTTTGGAGTTCAAGGGGTAAACAACGAGCAGAGCACATCTAAACTAGTTTATGAACAAACCTGGAGGACGTTAAAACCTCTCAATGATGGACATTGTGTAACAAGCTGTTGGGATTTATATGCCCTGACATAGCAAATTCCTATTTTTATTATAGTGACATATATTCTTGACATATCTGAAATATTTATGATTTATATAATTGGTGAATTCAATGTATTATGTTTCGATTTATTATGGAATTGATAGTGTCCACTTGATTGCAAGAGACTTATATATGTATGTGATGGCGATCAATACATGAATATAAATAGTAATCATAAATTGTTCATAGTCGGTAATTATGGATGGACTCATTATTAACTAAGACTTGAACTAGATCCATGTTAAGTTGAGATATATTGCGAGAGCTGTCGTATGCAATTGCTCCTTATCACTGTCATGGCATTTGACTCTTAAACATGAGAGAAGTATAGACTCTTTTATTAATTAATAATTACTTTGATTTGTTCAGTGGATACTTCGGGATCCATATATTGGCACTTTGGATAGTTATGTAATTAATAGTTAGAGGGTTATATTCTCAATATTTGCATCAGTGCTACTTGTATTTATTTTGTATTGATTATGGTTGATCACAAATTAAATTCGAAGGCCTTCGTATATTTTAGACAAAATGATTTATTATATATTTATTTATTTAAATTATTATTTTTGTCAAACAAATGTTTTATTGTCATCAAGTCAGAAATAATCAAAGGTACCAAAATAAATATATTAATTAAGTAGTCGGATTGATGGCTTTATTTATCCGATAACTAATTATGCACAGAGGGGTCAAAGTGCAACATTGACTTAGAGGTTATTTATTATTTAATTGGAGTTCAATTAATTTCTTTTAGTGGAGTAGAAATTAATTAATGAATTAATTTAATTGGATCCATGGACCGGGCCAATTATTAATAATTTTAAAACATGATTAAATCCTCCCAATAAAAATTGTACATCGAATTCACGATAATGTTAATTTAAATAAACAACCAAAACAACCTAACACAGTTAGTACAAGGCTTTTCTTCTTTACTGCATCTCCAATAAGCACCTACAAAAAAAGTGGAATTATGATTTCAACTAAGTAAACTCAAAAAGTAACTCTTTTCACAACTTATAGCTTACAAATAATATAAAGATGTATAAAAATACATTATTATGTCAAAAAATAAAAACGTATAAAAATACATTAATGTATCGAAATAAAAATGGTAGGGCAAATGTTAAATGTAATTGGTAATATCAATACAACTATTTTAAAAAATTGCTTAAAATCACTTCAGCTTACCTGTCGATAAATGTTAAATTCATATCAATATGAAAAAATAGGTGCCACGTTAACTTTTAAAAATTATAATTGTCAACTCCTATTCAATTTGGAATTCTAGAAGGTAAATTTTTTGTCCAAAAAAACCTTTAAGGCACTGTTTGGACAAGTTTCTTAATGGTTTTTTGCTTCTACTTTGTTGAGGAAAAAAAAAAAAAAAAACTATAAAGGCTAAAAAAAAAATAAGTGATATTTGGGGTGTTTTTTTAATCCAAACACGCCCCTAAAACAAAATTTGGTTTGTTACAATACAGTGGGCCTTTTTTTTTAATTAGTTAAGAGTAAGAAGACAAGATTATTGCATAATTTGTTAGTCATTATTTAAAGAATACTTTAAAAATATTATAAAAAATAGTATATTATTCTAAATATATTTTGAATATTCGTTCTTTTTCTTCATTCTGATTTTCAGTTTGTTTGTCAGTACCCATTTCTGATGGTGTGGGGCTGAACTCGATTCCAAATTCGCGAGGTGATACACCTTTTGGTGTTGGTTCATAAACGCCTCGTGGAATTTCATTCTGAGATTGCTGGATTCTCTTCAACTTTAGTCGATCATCCTCTGTTAAGGCTGAAACAGAGTTACGAGAAGGAGGATAGGAGACTTTATAAGGAAGATTAATTCCTCGAGATGATGTTGATCTGGGTAGATCTAAAGATCTTCTAAAATTAAGAAGAACATCACCATCATGATCCTGGATAACACAGTCCAAATTCCTATTGAGGATAGGTTTTGCTGAAACTGCGTCAGGAATTGTCCAATGCTCAGGGAATGTTATTTCACTCCAAGGAATCATCCTTTTTGTAGCAACATTCGAGGTGAATATATTTGTATCCCATATCGCTGTTACTCCTTTAGAGTCTTTGCGAATGGCTTTTGGACAATAGGTATCAAGTACCTTATAATGGATGCGATAAATCACACTTATCACCTCCGATCCAAGTAAGAAATTATACCCATAAGTCTGTACCCGAAGACTAGTCGCTTCACATATGTTTTAATCCGACAGGGATAAATTCAGACTTAGATAAACATCAAAGTAAACCGGTCCATGACACTGTGATACCCTTCAAATCCGAGACACGGGTTGATCAAGTTTGAGCCCAAACCCGAAGGATACCAAACAATTAATATGTAAACAAGCAGGACTACAAAAGAATAAAAAGATAAAATAATAAGCTGAAAAGAATCCTAAATATGAAAATCCTCCAAATAAAAGTTTAATATAATTTAAACTTTCAAATCCGTACAACTCAGGAATCCATCTAGTGAGCCCCTAATAATCCCAAATGATAAGTACATTTACACAATCAAAATCCAAAACCTAAATAAGAAAGAAAATCCTATATAATCGGAAGAGTGAGTGACTGTATTTGCATCATCATGAGCAAGCACTAAACCTAGTAATCACCAAAAAAAATAGGAGTGGGTCAGGCCCACATGCAAGTTCCATCCTACTACAATCCGTACATAAACCCGATACGCAGATACATCCTAAATAGCTCGGCAATAGCTAAAATAGTCCATATAGATGTAGATACACACTATAGGACGCTCACTAGCCCATATAATCTGTCTCAACCCGAGTAGAACAACCAGGGAAACATTATCAGGCCTAGTTATCCATTTTAGGCGATATACGCACCCTAACCGTGATCAGGAGACTCATATCACGGTACCATAATGATATATATAAATTCCATCCAAATACAATGTTGTGCCGATCAACTATTCGTCGTCAAAACGCAACATATAATTAGGATTTAAATGTTTTAATTAATTCCTATCCTTCCTAATGTAGAAAAATAAAACAAAAATCCGATATGTAGTTCAACTGTTTTAGTTGACAGGACATGCATCCATGTAGGATTTAACTATTTGAGTTAATCTATTCCGTATGTATGAAGGGGTAGGACTTAGTGTTTTGATCTAATCCATCCCTAATATGCCACCATCCCATACCGGTGCATATAATGCATATGATCCATAAATGATGCAGAATCATTCAAACATCAAATCCATCCAGAGCCAAACATAATAGAAATCAAATATAGACAAGATCCTATTATGCATCCAGTAAATGATTATAATCACATAATTTCCATTTAAATTGCTAAAGTAATGATAAACAATTTAAACTATCCACATCCATATAATTGACTGAACAGAAATTTTAGCAGTTCATCAATTAATATCCATAGCATGATATAACGATATTCAGAATTATAAACTGAGCATATTGTGCTAAAATCCCAAAAATACTTCCGTACCAGTCCGTTTAGTTCGCTAAATCAAAACCAGCAACTAAAATTTCTACCACTCCTGACAGCATGCAACTTAGTATCTAAAGTTCATGACGTCTATAACCACATCCTAGACCAACCTTTCTAGTTTTCATTAAATTATATATATCAGTTATATAACACCCCATAGGAAATTTCATACCACTCCGTTTAAGTTGCTAAAACAAACTAGAAATTTAATCATTTCTCCTTCCTTGACAGCATGCAAATTACATGTTTATATTTCATGCCGTCCCTTACCATAGCATAAACCAATATTCCTGGGTCTTTAAATATGTTATATATATTATTTTAAAACCCCTAATTAAACTTCAGTATTGTACTTTAGCCCCTGCAGCCCGAAAACCACCAAAACCACTTACTAGGCATTTACAAAAGGTAGAGCAGGCTCTGATTTTGGGTTGAGGAAGCTCCAATTTTGGGTTAAGGAGGCTCCAATTTTCGGTTGAGGAGGCTCCAATTTTGGGTTGAGCAGGCTCCAATCTAAGGTTGAGCAGGCTCCACTCTCCTTGGAGCCGCCTCTACATCATGTGGAGCCAACTCCACTTCAATGGAGCCGAGTCCATTGAAGGGTGGAACTGACTCCACTTCAATGGAGCCGACTCCATTGAAGGGTGGAGCCGCCTCCACTCTCCCAGCCTCCATTTTTCCTTTTCCGCTTCCTCTGTTTGTCTTTTTCGCTTCCGGTGAAATTCAACCCGCTATTCCAATTTTTTTTTTTAAGTTCCGAGGGTTCAACTCAAGTCCCAATAGTCCTAGAAACTCCTCTAATTCCAATACAAATTGTTTGACAGAAGTTTAAATCATAATCAAAACAGTTTATGCAAGAAACCGATTTCAGTTATTTAAACGTAAAACAAATTACAGTCCGACATAACATGCATCAACCATCAGTTTTAAAAGTTGAATTAATCCCTGGAGACTATAAAGAATGCACAGAATATAAGTTTACAGGAAGGAGATAGTATGAAACTTGCCTTTAGGTTTCGGTTTGAAACCTTTCAACATCGTTTCTAAATTCTCCGACGACTGCCTACTACCAGTAACCCTCTTATTGCTTGGTTTCAATCCCACAAGCCATCCCTTCCTTTATCCTTGGTACGACCTTCAATCTATGGCCGAAATCCTAATTGATTCTCTCATTTCCCTCTGTTTTTCCTCTCAAGAACCCCTCAATTTTTCCTCTCATGAACTATACGTGATTAGGGTTTTCCCACCCTAGCAGTCATATACTGTTCTATATATAGACGTTTACCTACTTTTAATTCCAACTAAACTTTAAGTTGGCTAATTTATCTTCATAAAAGAAAACCCTAAACCTAAACTATATACACGATCATATAAAATACATACCAATTAAGTCATATAAGCCATATAAAACACACGTCATCTGTGATACCCCCCGGATTTCTAAATGCGGGTTGGCCAGGCCCACGCCTGAATACCCAAGGATATCAAAACAAATTGATAATAAACGAACACAGAATACAAGA